GACCAGATTTCCTTGACACGTTTTGAGCAACCCAACAGGTCCAAGCGTGGGCTCTTTCTTAAACCTTAGCGTTACGCTCCGAGCTCGAGCATTGAAGGATCGCTGAGCTGAAATAGCGTGTAGTACTCGAGATACGACCAAGTAAGCATTGTATAGAGAATGCCGAGATTTTATCCAAAATTTTCAAGTACGTCCTGAGTAATGAACATGATGAATATGAACATTTTCATGAACATTTTCCAAACCGTCATGGCGGGCCAACAAGGAACAATATATATTAGCATAGTCTATTTGGTGCCAATGAGGGGTAGCACCGGGATACAGAAGTCAACTATAGTGAGTGTCACCGCTGGATGTTAAGTAAAACCTTCAAGTTAGTAGCTGTGTCCACCGGATGAATTTCTCAGATTGACCATGTATGCCCCTTAGTTTTCCACCAACAAATCATCAACTGTCCCTCTTGTACTAGCGCTTAAAACCAAAATTTACCATCCCGACCTCGTGTCGACTTGGCCTTGATATTCCAAGCGAACTGCATCGGGCACTCTCATGATTCATTTGCAGTATGCGCACGAGCAGGATACGTGGGCTCTGCAGTCACATTACACGTCGGAATTCAGTATTCATTTCTCTCAAATTCCATCAAATAGTCAATAATGCCAAAATTCGCTCGCGAGCTTCTCTCGCAATAAACCGTTTTCATTGCCACCTCTCCTCCTCCTCTTCCTCCTCCTCCTCCTTTTCCTCCGGTAACCATTCTGAATATATCCTATATAGTTTCTCTGTTAATTAAATTTTTTTATTTACGTGATCTATTCACACCTGCCCTTCTTCCTCGCGTGTCCATGAAATTGTTTTCTTTCTAATCAAAATTTCGTAGATCCTAAGAAGTATTTTATTCATTTAAAATGGCTACCCACCCTGCATGTCTGCGGATTTTGAACCGCCAAGTTGTTCTACTGTCAAACAAACGGTTTTATTGGCACCGAATGGGCTATAAACCAAGAAACATCGAGCCTGGTACCTACCCTTTTCCAAGAAAGCAGGTTCCAATCGACGGGCTTAAACCATTTACTCAACGATTGAAAGGTCAGCATTGTTTCAACCGTGATTTCTGCACACAGTTTCTATAAATCTCTAGCCTTCGTTTTCGTCCTTTGGCGCTTCTCCGTGCATGCTTCTCATGTTTCCTGTGTTATTTGTCATATTCACATAACTTCACATCACATATTTGCCATTTATTGTTCCATGTGCTTTCTGAAAACAAACCTGAATGGATCAATTGTTCAGCTCGTCGCAAAAAAAACAAGAGTCAGCACTGACCCCTTTTATAAGTTTTAAATTCTACTTATTTACAGGAACTGTTAGGCTGTGTTGCTCCGTGCTCGCTTGTTACGTTACTGTTTTCACGTAGTCGTATGGATTGTTTGTCCTTATTCCATTGACCTAGCAGTGGCTTACTTATGTATCATTTAATTTTTAATATATTCCGCGATCCAACATTACTTTGCATCGATTTTTTTCAGCTACCCCACGCTTCAGTTAATTAGGCTACTGCCATCCATAGCAAATGCGCAAACTGGCAGATTGGCAAGTGTTTTTTTGTAGAAATGGAAATTGCCCTTTCATTAGATTGAAGCTCTTATTGTGACTGTTCATTGGAATGGGAAGGGCCACATAACCATTACCAGTTATCACCATAATTTATTTTCATTCGATACCCGATTCCTGCTGAAAAAGTGAAATTGCAGCTCCACATTAGATGAACGCTTTTCCGCAATACTACAATCTGATCTGCGATCGTAAATTGTGTACTTGCGGTCAGTTAGCACGCTACCTCTCCACCGTGATTTTCACTTGATTTATTGTGCCGGGATGTGTGATCTGATCCAAATAAACCTTTACTGCCGAAGTTAGCACCTAATAATTAATTGCCCACAACCACAACCCCTACGGACGACACCGTCAACACGCCTCCTTTTTACCTATGATTCTACAGAAATTACGCCTATCGCAGGGGGCTTGGACACCGTCGATAGCGTTAACATTGGATTCACCACCAAATCACCTAGTGGGCGTATTGCTGCCGACTCTATCCGTAAACGGAGACAGGCCAACCTGGAGCCTCTTGCTCGAAAACGTCTCCTTAAAGTGCCTCTTGAACGAATCCATCAGCCCGAGGAGGACTTGGAAGCGCCTGCGCGACAAATGATGGCTGCCAAACACTACGGCATCTTCGAGGACCTTTTTGGTGCCCCTCACTATTTCCTTCCGGTCGCACCTCTTCACGTCTTTTACAGTCTGGAGGATCAGGATCCTGATAGCGTGCAACCCGTATTCTACGGCAATCACATTTCTGCCTCACACGCAAAGGTAATTATTGAAGTTTTTACGAGTGCCACTGTTCTAACTGCCACAGGAATTTGAGTTATCATTTAAATGTCGTTGCTTTAACCCATAAGCTTATTACTTATTTACCCTTTACTGTATACTGGGTGCCAACTTCCTACGAGCACACACAAGCTCTATTACAACGTACTATTTACTGATATTACGACAAATGATAATTAGAATTGCCACTTGTAGCAAGTAGTGGGTGTGCCTAGATCACTACAATCGTCAGGTCGAATCCCCAGGTAGAAGGTAAACGGCAGGAGTCACCAGATGGAGGGGTTTATTGTATACAGAAACCTGAGTTGCTGTCTCAGGCAGCATTGGCCACTGGCGAAGTCAGGGCTAGTCCTGACTGCGTCCAGCCAGGTCTGAGGGAGTCGACTGAGTGCTGTGTGGTGTGATGACAGTTGCTTTTAAATGCCTGCGGAGCAAGTTCAAGTGGTCTGCTATTGGTGTGTTTTAAGTTGCCCGAGGGGATGTCGCCTG